AAAAAAAAAAAAAAAAAAAAAAAAAAAAAAAGCATAGAGTAAACACTGGCTTTCCAAAGTATAAGAGGGAGAATAATTTGAGCAAATTAAATATATCCAACTCAATAATTCTCTGGGTTAGCATGACAGGATTAAAATAGAACTATTGTGGAAGAAAAAAATCTTTCCAAAATGCAAGAACCCTGGTCATTTTAGTATAGCCTCCAAATCTAAGTTTAGCTTCCTTCTCGCAGAATTCTGAGCCAAAGGAAATGAAAATACTTTTTCTCCTCATATACACGTATGAGCTGATCAAAATATATGGTGAATGTCTAAATTTATAAATGGTCTCAGTAAATACCCCATCTTTTTTCAGAAGCACTTTGCCTATCATTCTTGCCTCTTTCTGCAGGATTCGCAGTCTGTAAATGGGATGCTCTGTGGTCCACATCACTGACATGATTCACAAGCCATACAGTATCCAGTCCTTGTCATCTCACAAGCTCATTACTCACCAGGCCTCTTGGTACTGCTCTCCATCCACACTGGAGAGTGGCTTCTGCTCACTTAGGACAGACTGGCTTCTTTCACCTGCAATGATCCCCTCTCAAATAGAAGCTCCTCACTCTTAGCCTGATTAATTTCTTTCCATCTTTCAAGGCTCTGCTTAAATGTCTCACTATGGCTTATTTTATATATCAGCTTAGCTACACCAAGGGATGCCTAGATATCTGATAATGCATTATATCTCCAGAAGAGATTAGCATTTGAATCGGTGGCCTGAGGAAGAAGATTGCCTTTATCAGTGTGGGAGGGCCTCACCCAATCTAAGTGCTCAGGCTGAACAAGAAGAAGAAGAAGTGTGAATTCACTGAGCAGTGATATCCCTCTTCCGCCCTGGGACATCAGCTGTTCTGATTCTTGGGGCTTGAATTGAATTGTCACTGGGTTACCTGCTTCCCCACCTGTGGGGAGCAGATCGTGAGACTTCTCAGTCTCCATATTCACAAGAGTTAATTCCTATAATAAATCTACAGATACATGTGCCTCTATGTATGCACACACACTTGCAGTTTCTCAAGTGACCTATCTAATATATGTTCCTTCTTGAGAATTGACTTCTTAGAGCAGATCTCTCATAGCCTGTAGTACTCAGGGTTCTCCAGAGGAGCAAAACAAATAGATCTGAATAAGAGGGATGAATTATGCAGCCCAAAGCTGAAAGTCTAGAAGCTTCCCAGAGGGTCCCTGATATGAGTCCAAATTCAAATTATGCAGAAACTGGTGTCTGATGTCTATGGATGATGCTGGCAGAAAAGCACATCTGGTCAAAAAGAATGGAGCCTACTAGATATGGCTGGCTTCCTCCTTTTTCCATTTTTGCTTCATCCGGGGCCCCAGCCTATGGGATGGTGCTGCTCACATTGAGGGTCAGTCTCCCTGCTCATTTTGTTGACCCACATGCCAATGGTCTCTGCAAACACACTCACAGATGCACCCAGAAGTGTGCTTTCATAATTAATTGTCTATGTGACAATTTGAATTTCTTTGCCTATACTTAAGCATGTTCTTTGGGCTAACACGTGGTCTGTTTTGGAGAATGTCCCATGTGGAGCTGAGAAGAATGTGTATTCTGATGCTGTAAGGTGGAACACTCTGTAGATACCCACTAACTCCATTTGTTCACCAGTTTGGTTCAGTTCTGATATTTCTTTGTTGATATTTTGGTCTAGTTGATCTATTTATGACAGTGGGGTGTTGAGGTTCCTCATTATAATTTTATTAGTGCTTATTTGGTTTTTCATGTACATTAGTATTTGTTTTACATAGTTATACACATATATATGTGATTGTTATCTCTTCCTCTTGGATTGTTCCCTTTATATGGATGTAGTGACCTTTGTCTCTCTTAATCAGTCTTGGCTTGAAATCCACTTTGTCTGCAAATAGTATAGCTACCCCTGCTTTTTTTGGGTTCCTAACACATGCAGTATTATTTTCCATTCTTTGACTTCAGTCTGTGAATTTCTTTTTGAGTTAAATGTATTTCCTGTATGCAGTAAATTGTGGGATCTTATTTCTTGACCCATTCTGCTAGTCTGTTTCTCTTGATTGGTGAGTTGAAACCATTTACACTGATAGTGATAACTGAAATGCAATGGCTTATCCTTGTCATATTATTTTCCTGCTGTTGGTTCCCTGTCTTTCCCCTCTGTTTAACTGCTTGCCTGCCTGATGGCTTCTTTCTCTTGGTATTATTAGACTTGTGGTTTATTATCTTTTTCTAAAATATCCATCATGGCAGTTTGTAGAGTGGGTTTAGTGGTCATGAATTTATTCAGTTCTTTGTCATGGAAGCATCTTATTTCTCCACTGAATTTGAAAGATAGTTTTGCAGGATACATCAATGTGGGTTGGAGGTTGTTTCTCTCAGAACCTGAAATACTTCACTCAACGCTCTCCTTGACTTAAAGGCTTGTGTTGAGAAGCCTGTGGTGTTTCCCTTTTTTAAACAGGGTGAAAATGGAAACAGTTTGTTTATAAATAAGGGGAAGTGGGATTGAAGGGACGGATGGGGAGGGGATTGGGGAAAACAAGAAGAATCAAGATTATATCACGTACTGGTACAAATTCTCTAAAGTCAGAGGAATGGTGTGAAGATGGAAGTGTGGACAGACCAG